TTTGTCACAATACCAGAAAGCTGGTTAACACAATTGCTCCCTTGCTTCATTTCACTTTGCACACAAGTCTTAGAATGGCATACCCAACACCTCACCAATGATGTGATTCTTGAAATCGGCTTGGGATTGTTTATATTGTCCCTTTGGGCCTTAGTGAGTATCTCACGGGTGATGTACAGCCAAATTCCTGTATTTTAATGTCACTTTGGCCAGTTTCTCTTTGGGTGATCATGCCACCAACTGGTCATGCATTTAGGTTCATTTCTTATTTCCTTCCAATTTTTAAATGAGATTTCTGTTTTATATTTATGTAAAATATTTACATGATTCTAAATTAAAATATATTAAACAAGGAGTCTGCAAAGCAGTTTAGCTTCCTGCTCTGCCCCCTTCCGTCCCCTCTAGGTTTAACTCTAAGGGCCTAGTAAGCATATCATTACCCTTCATTACCTAGAAGTGGGTAAATGAGACTTTGAGAGGTTAAATGATTTACCTAAGGCCATGTACTAGGAGAAAAAAAGAACTAGGTTTGAAATCTGCATTTCCTGCTCTAGAACCCTTGAATCTGCTCTAGAACCCTTGAATCCCTAGACTCTTTTAGTTCAAATTATATTTATGGATCATTAAATGAAATAAATAATGTTCTGTTTGAAATGATTTCAGAAATGACTTTGTGGGGAAAAATCAAGAGAGATGGCTCTGATTGGAAACCCACTTCCTGGCAGGCAGCAACACCCAACCAAGACCCAGAAGGTGTCCTCTTAGGGACTGGCAGCGATGGATATTCTCCCCGGGGACAGAGCAGTAGAAACCCACTCTCACCACATTTGGTAGTAAATGGTTTCTAGTGATGAAAGCTTTGCTGGTAGGACAGGTAGTTGGCCTCGCCTGGTAGCTATTCACACCTGAGCAGGTCCACCAAAAAGCTGGCTGCCCCACAAATACCCAGAGAGTAATAATAATTTCCACCCCAGACAATGTGTTTTGTGCCTGCAATGTGCTTATTATCTGCTGCGCACCCACCCTGTGGTCCCCACACCACATGACTCCGTTCTGGATTCATGGTCTTATTGCCTTTCCAAGCTGTTTCCCTGGCCAATGTCTGTCCTGTCACAGAACAAGCAATGGGTGGTGAGTGTTTGAGGTCAAGTGAGTGTTTGAAGCCACCGTCCCCGCACATGGGCATCTGTCCTGCCTGTTAGCTTCGGTCCTGATGACTTTCACCAGGGAGGATCTTGAATCACATTTGTGACACCAAATTTCTCCAGCTGCCTTCCCCAAGCAAGGGGGCCAAGCCTCCATGTGAGAGGCTCTAAAATCCTTGCTTAGTGACCTGCCCCAACCATCTCCAGAGCCCCTGTCCCTGAGCTGCCTTCACGGAGACCCCTGATTAGCTCATGGGAAACTTGGAAGATGGGGCAGAGGAGAAGGGGAAACAGCCAAGGTGGGTCTTCCCTCTGTTCTCACTGGCACTGGAGTGAAAACAAGTGCATAGCCAGCCGTTGTGAAGATCTGGCCTGTCTCAACCTCTTGTGGCTCTGTTGACTTCCTCAAATTCAGATCAGATCAATAATTCACTAAAATCCCCCCCAAAAAAAACAGCTCCCAGAGCCCCCTGCCCTGCGTCTATAAAATGGGGACAAAAAGGAACTCTGGGGCAGGAGTGATGGGAGGGTTAATTGATGTCCCTACCATCCAAGCAAGGACAGACATAGCATTGTCAACACCCATGCCCAGTTAGAAAGGCACTGAGCACCCACCTGTCCCTGCAGAATCTCCACAAACACAGCAGGCACACACTTGAGAGTCCAACAAAGAATGCAGGCATGGTGTGTGCCAGGCCCTCTGCGAGCCCTGCACCCACATGAGCTCATTTCATCTTCACGGCAGCTCCAGGAGGTGGGTCCTGTGATGCCCTCATTTTGAGGAAGAGAAAGTGGGGTGCAGCGTGGAAGGATAACATGTTTAGGCTGCAGAGCCAGGGAATCAGACAGACACAGGGAAAAATACATAGAAAGAGAGAACCAGAGTGGGGAAAAAGAAAGGCAAGTGGCAGAGAAGCAGGAACAAACAAACCAACCAAAAACAAGTGTGACAAAGAGGTGATGAGAAGAAATCAGAGATGGCAGCTACAGGGGCAAGCAGAGGCCGGGGCAGCCGCCTCCATCCTCCCTGAACGTCTGAGTTGCCTCCTCCTGGGCTCTCTGTGCCCACCACTTACTGTTCCCGTCCTCTGCTGGCCCTCACCTCGACGCCGTGTGGCCCGTCCCTGTTCCTCTCCACGGCAGATGGCAGTCAGCCCCAGGTGGCACTCATATGACCAGATGCCTGGCTCCAATCCCCTCAGCCTCCAGAAGTGTGGCCCATCTGCCCCAGAGACCTTCAGGGGACCCTGGCAGGCTGCCCCCACCTCTGGCCATCTCTGTCCTAAAGGGCCCCACACCAACCGTGACCCATTCCACCCCCAAACACACACACACACACACACAGCTCTAGCTCCGGGGAAAGGTCCTCAGGGATGCAAGGCCCTGGGCTGGATGGAACAGAGCCCTACACACATACTCTCGCTCTCTCTGCCCCTGCTCCACCCCCAGCGGGTGGGGGTGTAAACCAAGAGGGTCCCCCTGAGCAGGCTTCATAACTCAGCCAGCCAGCAGAGGCCGATATTTAAATCATAGCTTACTTTGCTTTGTGTGAGGGAATTTATTAGCCTACCACATAAATGTTTTATTCATTAGGCCACGTAAATAATGCATGCCTGTTTCCATGAAGGCTTAACCCTTCCGCTCCCAGGACCCCAGGCTGCCCTGGTCTCCCGCCTTTGTATTATCTTGCCTTCTCCAGGTTCTGAAATGGCATGAGAAGAGCAACAGTGAAACAATAATCATCAATAGCACTATTACTCTATTATTATTATTAGCCATCACCTAAGGAGCCCTTTGAGGAGACAGGCACAGTGCCCGGCAATTTACCACCATAGTGTCATTGTCACATGCACTGCCATCGCCCCCGTTTTACAGATGAGAAGACTGATGTTCAGGGAAGAGGATACCATCGCCCAGGTCACACAAGGGCATGAGAAGAGCCAGGATTCCTGCCAGGAGTGACTGACACCAAAGCCCCAGGTTGCCTTCCTCAGCCCCTGCCGGGGCCCTCAGAGTAGCCAGGGAGCTGCTTAGGGCTGCCTCATGGCAGAAAGTCTCCCCCGGCTCAGTCTTCCTCAGCCACCACAGCTAGAAGCTCTCTGCAGCTGGCAGAGTCCAAGTCCCTGCCAAGGCTGAGATGGTGGGGTTCACCCAGGCCAAGCCCTGGGAACCAGTGCATAAATTGAGACTCCGAGGCACAACCGAGATTTGTCAGAGGCCACACTGCAACTCCCAGAAGCCCAGCCCTTGAATCTCCATTGCCCCCTTCATGCTCTGAGCTGCCTCTTCTGGAACCTTCTGAGGTCCAACGGCAAGAGCGCTGGCCCCTCCCCACTTTACAGACAGGAACCCTGAGGCATTGAGGTTAAGAACCTGGCACGGGGTCACTGGCAAATTGGCCTCACGGGCATATGGGGAGGCCTGGGCAGCCCCTCATTCCTCCCGTCACGTCTCACTGCTCTGCTCAGCAAGCGTGGGGTGCACAGGCCACCTCTGCCACCCTGGCTGCTCGTTAGGCAGCTTCCACCCAAGCCCCCTTGGCCTCTCGATGACGGCAGTGCACAGAGGCCACTAGGGCTCCCGTGGCCGTGATCGAGGGCTCCCCGGCCCCCTCCACTGGCTTCCTCAGCCTTAACAGAAATCACATGTGAGCTCAGAGCCGCCAGGGCGCACAGCCTGGCCTGCCGACTCCTGCAAATCCACCCTCAAACGTGGCCTCTTTGGCCTCCCGCTCTCCTGTCCCAAGGTGTGGTCTCCGGGGCCCCCCAACTCACCAAGGATGGCAGAGCTTGGAGTGGGCCCAGGACCATTAAGCTTTGACCTTGGCCAGCCCTTGAGCAGCCCTGGGAGGAGCACCTGGTTTTCAGGTGAGGACTTCAAGCTCAGAGAGGTGGAAAAACCTGCCTGGGCCACACAGCCAGCAACTGGCAAAACCCCAGGGCCTGAACCAGACTGGAATATCCAACTCTCGTCCCCTGCCCTTGACCTCTGACCCAGAACCCAGGAAAGCACAGACTCAGGTGGCCGGTGGCACGGTGGCTCCTACTGGGTTCCTAGGAGAGAAATTGCTCTCAATTTCCCCTGCTTTTCCCTTCCACTCAGTTGGGAAGAAAGACCCTGTCTGGTGTTGGCTTGTGTACACCTCTTCAAAACCCCAACCAGCCTCCTACACAAAGATGCAAGCCCTGGCTGGAGTCAGCCACAGGCTGCAGACACTGGCTGGAACCTAATCACCCTGCTGTGTGTTCACTCTACTTATCTTTATAGTTGCCTCCATCTATAGCATGCAAGGCCTGTTTTCCCATTAATAACAATAATGATAAAAAATACAGCTGAGACATATCCAGCACTCACAAGAAGCCCAGCGTTGTTCTGAGATCTGCATATTTTAACCATCTAATCCTCGAACATCCTATAGGGTAGGACCATCACCCTGCACACCCCTGCTGCAGAGACAAGGAAAGTGAGACACAGAGAGGTTAGGACTGACCCTAAGCTCTCAGGGCTAATAAGTACCAGGGCCACAATTTGGATCTTTCATAACTACAGTGTCTCTGACAGTGAGGTAAATTTTCCTTTTAAAATGAACTTTTATAGAAGAAAATCTTTACAGTATGTATGGGAAAAAATAATCATCCACACAGTGCACAAAAATTATAAAGGCAGCACAGGAGTGCTGAGTTTGTAAATACTGAGCTATCCTGTAACCTGCCCGCCGGCATAGGCATGATGTCATCAGCTCATAGGCCCCACCCCTTGGCTCAGAGCCAATGAGAATGAAGCCTGGTTTGAAGCGTTACATTGGTCCCACCCTGGAACCCATGAGAACAAAGCCCAACTTGGGTGTGGCAGAGGCCTCACTCTCAGGCCTGGAGCCCTTGAAATGGCTTGGGCTACTGTTCTGAACTTGGGGTCAGGGAGCAGCCGTCTGGCCTGAGTCCATCCTCAGAGGGTAAGGGGCATCTGTCAGGCATCATCTAGACTCTTCACCGTCCCTCACAGGTAAATGCAAATGAATTATGCTACATGGCTCCCGATGTCAGCTGGTGACAGGAGCATCTCGATCCTCTAGGTACAGATGCACCTGTAGCCAACTCTTCGCCTGGACTGTCCTTGATTCCAGCCAATGGAACTCCCATGTGTGCTTCATCTGGGAGAGAAGGTTGCCTATACTGAGGAGAATGATGGCGCCCTCTTCCTCCCTTGGCTAGAGAAAGCAGCTCAGTGGGCTCTGCGCATGGGTTCAACCCAAGACTCTGTCCCCAAGTGGCAAACTGTATCAGTGTGAGGACAAGCATGAGGGGGCATGGAGGAACCAGGGGGGCAGAATGCAAGAAGGTGCTCATCCTGGGTGGAGCAGACTGGCACTCATGCTCCTGAGCGTGAGCAGCTCTTCGTGTGCCTAGCTGCTCTCCCTCAGCCTGAGTCCAGGCATCATCTTGATGTCTTGATCCTTGGTCACCTGTGACCGGGAAGATATCATTTCATGCACCTGCATGCCTGTGACCTGTGACCCTCAGACCTCCGCAGTGGCAGGCACCAGAGGGCAGATGACCCACACTTCCCTAGCACACACCCTCGTCCCATAAGCTCCCCAGCAGGGGACCTCCTCCTGGCAGCTCTGGGGTTCTCCAGGGTCGAGGAGATGCGAGTGGGATCACCTACAGCACTCTCCTTCCCTGTCCTGGGGAGGCTGTGTCAAAGCTGCCTGCAGCCCCCAAAGAGCTCATGTCAAGCAGGGTTGGTGCAGACTTGGGAGGAGCTCAGCCACTGCCCTGAGTCCCCAGTGTCCCTGGTGAAAATGACCCTGAGCTGGACACATCTCTCAATGGCTCATGGTGCCAGGAGGGGACAGCATATTCCTTCTGAGCAGTTCTTGTTTGTGATGCATAATGGACACATTCATTGTGGGAAGTTGATACATAAACATAGTACATCTCAATCATTTTTCCCTCCTTTTCTCCTCTCTCCCACCTCCTATAGATGACCTCCCCTCTCCAAAAGATCTTCTTGTTTCCTATCATCCGTCTCTTATTTTGCTCTTTAAATTATTTACACTTTGGGTTTTTCCTATAAGGAAAACCACATGATATTTAACCTTCTGTGTCTGATTTATTTCACTTTGCACTATGGTCTCAAGGTGCATCCGTTTTCCTACAAATGACTCAAATGTGTCCTTCTTTATGGCTGAGTAGTACTCCGTTGTGCGTAACTACCACATTTTCTTTATCTATTCATCTGCTGATGGACATTCAGGCCCTTTCCAAGATTTAGCTATTGTGAGTTGTGCTTCTGTAAAGATGGGTATGCACATATCACTGTATTATAGTGTCTTTAACTCTTTTAGGAAAATACTCAGAGAGAGTAGAGCTGCATTAAATGGAATTTCTATTTTTAGTTTTTGGAGGAATCACCGTGTCGATTTTCACGGTGGTTGTACTAGCTTGCCTTCTCACCCACAGTGCGGAAGGGTTCCTTTTTCCTCACAAGCTTGTCAGCATTGAGCGGGGAGTGTTGTGATGAAATCCATTCTTTCTGGATTCAGGTGGAATTGCCATATTATTTGTTGCATTTCTTTCATGGCCAAAGATGCCGAACATTTTTTCATGTTTTCATTGGTCATTTGTACTTCTCTTGAGAAGTGTGTATTCATTTCACTTGCCCATTTAGTGGTGTTTTGGTTTGAGACAGTCCCATTATGTAGTTCAGACTGGCCTCAAACTCACTGGGTCACCCAGGCTGGCCCTGAACTCATGGCAATCCTCCGACCTCAGCCTTCCAAGTGCTGGGATGACACCATCTTTCAACTGCTCATTTTAGAGTTGGATCTTTTATTTGGGGGGAATCTAGTTTTTGAGTTCTTTATATAATCCAGATATTGGTCCTCAGAACCAATATCTTGTCCTTCACCCTCAACCCATTCATGCTAACTTCCTTCTTCCCTTCAGGGTCACAGACACAACCTCATTGCTTCAACTCCACCAGCAAGTGCCCAGTCCCCTAAACCCCCCCTCATGCTGGCCACCAGGTACCAAGTGCTGCTTGCTCATTCTGTTCTAGGCGCAAGGCTTGGGAACAAAATGCCACCACACACATTTTGTAGGGGAGAAAAATCCATCAGAAAGGGCTAAGAATTTGCCTTGGGTCATGCAGCTTCTAAGTGTAGGGCCCAGGTGAGTTCCAGACCTAAGTCTGCGGCGCTCCGCTGCTGCAGTGCTGGAGAAAGGAGACCATCCATATTCCAAGGCTCCCTTCACCCATGGCTTCTCAGCCCCAGGACTGATGCTGCAAAGCCATGCTCTGTTTCCAGGAAATGTGAGGATCTCCAGGCCCCTAGAACTTGAAGAATCGAGTCTCCCAGAGCTCTGCACGATAATTCAAGTCCGGCTTCAGATCTCCTTGCTCTTCCTCACCCCCTCTTTGTCCTCCACTCCCAGCAGACTCTGGAAGCCACTGTGCTTTCCCACTAGCTCAATACTCATCCCTGGTGCAGGTCCTCAGCCCTTTCCTTGTGTCAAGATAACCAGCCCTGGTCAGACAAGATCAGCCCCATGTGATCTCTGAGTCAACACTGGCCGGGGGAACAAGTAACCCCAGAGTGTCAGAGGTAGCTCGACCACCATCAGTGGGATCTCAGTGTGTGTGTAAGGAGGGGACACGCTGAAGTTCTCCTTCCCTACTGGCCAAGCCCATTAGTAGACCAGAGCCCTGCCTACTGCCCCTGCAGCGCTCCAGCTTTCTGCCAGGGAGGCACCCTCTCCTCTCCCTGACAAAAGCAGGAGCTCTGATCCTCAGAGTGAACTTTAAGGCAGGGAAAGCAAGGTATTGATCTTTTCCCAGCACTGCCCTGATCCAATGACAACAGTGACACTGGTCCAAAGCTGGTCAGAGTCCCCATCGCCCAAGCAATCCGCTTATGGGACCTGGGTCACACCTGTGGGGCTCAAAAAAGTTCACCTGCCAGCTCCCCCTGGCCCAGCTGGCCCCGCCCCATGATGCCCATGAAGGAGCACAGCCCCGCTCCTCAGAGGAACTCTGCTCCCACCTGCGGAGATCCCAACACATGCATACACTTGCACGCACACACTCGTACACGCACACACAGAGAATGTCTGGCCCTGTCTCTCCTTTCCCATCTGCCTAGTTCTTTCTAAGTCCCTTAGGTCTCTGCTAATTCCCTGACCCTGCAATCATTTGAGTTCCTCTGTTCCATCTTCTCACTGCTGCTTAGGCTTCTCAGAATAGCAGCTCCTGGTGATTACCAGTGGTCAGCAGAGTGACTGTTCCACAGTGTCCCACTCTGGAAGGTTCCCCTGTGCCTTTTGCTATCTCTGGTATGTGGTAGCCTGGAAGAAATACTGAGAAATGAGCAACTGAGCAGCTGCCTGCTCGAAGGGTCCCATCCTAGAAAAGCAGCCACTGAGTGGCAGTGACCTCACCGCAGGAGACAGCAGGCCATCACCTCTGTGCAGTGACTTTCTGAGCCAGAGGCGCTGATGGCTCTGACCATCATCCTGAGATGGGACTCAGATCCCAGTGCAAAGAAGACTGGGGTAGTGATCGATTCCTTACCTTCATGCAGGCCAGCTGCAGACCTCATCCTTGCTTCCAAGGTGCCAAGGCTGGTCCCTCTCTCCCTCTGACCACAGCCTCCATCCTCGGCGAGCCATTGTCAGGGTCTCGGTGACCCTCTGAGAAGGTGCTATGTGTCGATTGGTGTCCCTCAAAAGGACATGTTGAGCCAGGTGTCTGCAATCCCAGCACTCTGGGAAGCTGAGGCAGGAAGATTACAAGTTCAAGTCCAGACTGAGCAACTTAGCAGCTTTTTGAGACGCTGTCTCAAAGTTTAAAAAAAAAAAAAAAAGCCACGTTGAGGTGTTAACACCCAGAACTTGTGAATGTGAACTTATTTGGAGGTAGAGTCTTTGCTGATGTCATCAAGTTAAAATGAGGCCAGTGCTGTCCTCATAAGGGGAAAGAAACAGCAGGGAGATGGCCATGGTACAGCAGAGGCAGAGACCACAGTGGAGCATATACAAGCCAGGAGCTGTCACGGTTGCTGGCAACATGAAGCTGGACAAGGCCAGGGAGGATCCTTCCCAGAGCCCTTGGAGGGAGCATGGCCTGGCCAACACCTTCCCTTCAGACTTCTGGCCTCCAGAACTGTGGAAGAATAGATCCCTGTTGTTTTAAGCCTCCATCTTTGTGATACAGTAAGTCCCCAAATTACAAAGATTTGAGCTGCAAACTTTTACAAATACAAATGAACCTCAAACCACAAACATTCGTAGACTCGAACAATTCACAGAAGTAGCCCACGTGTCTGCCGGACATGGTCCCAACTGTGCTGCCGTGCGCTTACAGTACTTACGGTGCGACAGCGGACAGTCGTACAGTGCTGGATCAGAGCCCAGGAGGTCTGGAAAAGAGGGAAAGCAGTGGTGATGTGGAGGTTGGCTTTTTAGTGCTTCACATTATATATTTGTGTCAAGGGTGAATAAGACTCACTTTGTTGGACTTACAAATGAATTGGTTTATGAAGGGAACTCATTGGTAAGTTGGGGACTTACTGGTGGTAGCAACCCTGGGAGTCCGAAGCTAAGAGCTTCCTGTCCCCTGTGAGTCACAGGCCAGAAGGTCCCTGTTCTTGGCTGGGATCTGGGCATGGAAGCTGCTCCCCATCAGCAAATGGTGGGGTGCTGTTGGGGCTCAGATGTGGGACTGGCATGGCAGTCGAGGATGGGAGGGAGTCTGGGAGCAGCTGCCCAGGGAGCAGTGGGCTGGGGGCTGAGCTGGTGCCACGCACCCGCAGGCTGCCCAGCTGCCCTCTCTAGAGACCACCCTATCTAGAAAGGACCCCAGCTCCTCCCTCCATAGCCTCTTTCGTTAGCATCTCAGGGAAGACTGCAGCACTTGGCTGAGCTGCCAGCTCCCCAGAGCAGAGAGCCTGGAAATGGGGGCCGTGACTTAAGCTTGGACAGAGGGATTAATTCCAATAACACCAGCTGCCCTGTTGAACATCTGCTCTGTGGCCAGAGCTTGCTGCATGCACCTGCCCGAGTGGAAGGTAATGGCTTCCCCGCTTTATACAGGGGCAAACGGGGCCTCGCAAGGCCCTTCATGAGTGTCCTACCTCCCCAGGGATGAGAGATGCTGTCAGAGAGATGCTTTAGATCTTGATGCCCAAATCAGAGGCCACCCCCGGGAAGACTCATAGAGTGAGACATGTCAGTAACTTGGGCCCGGGAGGGGACAATGGGGCCATGATCAGAAAGGTGAGGCACAGACCATGTTGGAGGCTGCCTGCCTGTCTCAGCCCCTGAGACTCCAGCCTCCTACAGCTACCCCTGGGCTCCGCCCTGCACAGGCCTAGGCCAGAGAGACTCCAGCCCAGGGTCCAGTGAGCTTTGCACCTAGGTGGGGCTGGGGAAGCATGCTTCTCCTTGAAACTCACACTGCTTTCTTGGCGCACTATGAGCTTCAACAAAGCCTCCAGGTGATCGTCCCCTAGGCTGGCACTGGCCCAGTTTCTCACAGCCCCAACTGCTCTGGTCTATGCTGAGGCCACCTACTTCTGGCCTCCTCCCAGGCTTCTTTGCACAGAGCAGTCTATGGACTCACACACAGCAGACAACTCAAGAGGTGTGCGTCCAGCTCCTACCACACCTGGCCAAAAGTCACCCTTCTGGGGATGCTGAGGAGATAGGATAGCACAGTGGTCAGCGGCAAAGAATCCAAATGCAGAATTCAAGGTCCAGTGTAGCTACACACCAGCTGTGTGACCTTGGCCTTGCGACTCACGCTTTCTGTGGCTCATCCATAGCCCCTCACTCATAAGGGTATTGTGTGGAAGTGAACTAAACATGGAAGCACTCAGTAGATGTTGGTTCTCATCATCATGTTATGATTACAGTGTGGCTCCGTAATTGACTGGAGATGAACACCTCGCAGTCAGGGACAATTAGCTCCTCAGCCCCAGGAATGGGGAATTTTTGCCCACACCAGTGGGACACACATTCATGTAGGCTGCCCTGACAACAGGGAGACACAGAGTCCCAGAGTCCATGAGGTGTCCCTGTGTGTCGTTGGCTGGAGAAGCAGGGAGAGCCCAAGTCCAAAGAAGTATGGAGTGGACATTTGTGGAGATGCTTAGCTGAGAGGGGCTTTAGCTCCAGAAATAAAGAGATGGGGCAGCAGTGCTGCACGGACCTGATGGCTCTCTGAGCATGATTCTGGGCTGCATTTCCCAGCCTGGGACTCCTAGAGATACCCTGCTCCTTGAAATAAGTACTCCTTTAGAACTTAAACTGGGTAGAATGGGTTTGGTTATTTGTATCTGAAAAGCAGATGTCATTCCTGCCCTAGAAAGCAAAAAGGTGGAAAGTGAGTGGCGCTGGAAAGAATTTGCCATGAGAATTTCCCGTTTGCAGGCAAAATGAAGCCCTTCCTTGCTTGAGTTTCCTGGCAAATGTACGTCAACAGCGTCCCAAGTATGGCTGAGACAGGAAGGAGACCAGAGCCCAGCAAGGGCCATCACCCCTTCCCGGACTCTTTATCCTCCCAGAAACTCCTTCTGTCTCCTTCTGGGCCTTTCTTAGTGGCCGGCTGAGCTCAGGCACTGTCCTTGCAACTCCTTTTCCACAGGATGCCCCTGCAATGGTCTCATCCACCCCACCTGAGTGCCAAGGATTCACATCTCTCCCTCCGGTCTCGTCCCCTGCGCTTCTGTGGACCCAGAAACACAGGCGCTTTCTCCCTGGCTATCCAAGTCTCCCCCAAACCAAGAAACTCACACTGAGCTCTTCCTTCTACTACAAAAAGCCTGCCTGCTCTCTCCCTCCCTTCGTGAATAATGTCTTCTGGCTTCTAGTTCCTTCAGCAATAAACATCCAGGAGAGCTCCCTCTCTCCCGCAAGTAAACCTCATCAGCCAGTCCTGTCTGTTCTACCTTTTACACATCTTTCCAATCTGACCCTTCTCCCCGGCCCCTGGCCACTGCCACAGCCCAGATGCACATTACTGCTCACCTGGGCCTTCCTATCAGAAGTGGAAGCTCAATAAATCTTTTTCAATAAATAAACCTCATTTAAAGTCTGAAATACAAGAACAAGGCCCTACCTGCCCTGACTCAGAAACAGCTGTGTCTAATCCAGAACCCAAATCTGAGCTGAGAAATTGGAGCTCGTCTCTGTGTCTGGAGGAAATTTCTCTCCTGCAACTCAAAGGATGAAGCCCGGGCAGTCACAAATGGCTCAACACGTTCTACCAAGATCCCTTATTGCATTTTAGTCAAAGAAAAACAAGTGTCGATGGGGAGAGGGTTAACAGTTTATTCTATTTTTTTCTGAGTGATTTTATCACTGTCGTTAGAACATTCATTGAAGTAAGTGAGGAATCCATCACAGGCTGACAGCAGTGTGCAGACTAATGGCTGTTAGATGGTAATAATTTTTAATATGATTTTTATTTCACTTAATTTCATATGTGCTTGACAAAAGGTCCCCAGTCACTGGGGAGCAGTGCAGAACTGGGGATATGCTCACAGGAAGGCCTATTAAGCCAGGTGCTAGAAGCATTTCAAAGAAACAACTTTGCCCAGGGTGGGAGCAAGGAGGAACTTGGTTGGGAGAAGGGGGCAGGTTTGGGGCAGGATGTCACGGGCATGCCTTGTGATGCCAGAGCCAGGGACACAGGCGCCTATGTGATGGGCATCCCACAGCCACACCACGGACTTGCCGGAGCACACACAGAGTCTCATCTTGAGAGAGGACACACAGTCACACCCAATAAGTCACACTCCGCGTTTTCATAACAGAAGAGGACTATGCATATAGACACGTAGGATGCAAGGGGAGGGAAGGGGGGAGGATGGAGAGGAAAGAAAATGGAGGGGGAGGTGGAAAGGAGAGAAGGAGGGAGAAATTGGGAGATAGAAAGAGCTGACCTAGCCTCTCCGTAGAGACTCTGTGCACCTAGAAGCCCCAGCGAAAGGCTCTCAGCCTCTCTTTGGTTCCCCCTAAATGGGGGAGAGAACCACAGCCTGGTGGAGCCAGGTGTTGTGCACTCCTGGCCACAAACCAATCCAGGGGCTTCTTGCTGATGAACTTGGCTCATTGCTCTTTCAGTTTGGGGCTGAGAGGGCTCTGCTGCTACGACCATGAGAGAAGACTCTAAGTCAGTGATGGCGGACCATTTAGAGCCTTCGATGATACGAACCGCCTGCTGTGGCACGCGTGCCATAGGTTCGCCACCGCTGCTCTAAGTCATACTGCTAAGCTTACACCCCAGCTCTGCCCTCACCAGCTCGGCAGCCTCTGCTGAACTATGTCATTTCTTTGGGGTTCCTGCTCCATAGAACTGGGAGGAAATTGTAAGGATTAAGTGAGAGCCTGGATCCTCAGAAAAAGGTTATCTAGTATGATTTCCACTGTGATTATTTTCCTCCAATTTCTTCTGGAAAGGTTGGGAATTAGCTTTTCTCAGGTTCTCTTAGGATGGTGCGGAATTTTTTTAACGCTGAGGAAGTCATCGCATGGTGTCAGTCCTCCTCAAGACTTTGTCTTCTCCTGCCTGGTTTGGGAGCCCTGGTGCCCTGCAGGATTGAGGGAGAAGTCAGACTAAATCTTACTAAGGTTGCTCACTGTCTACACACACACACACACACACACGCACGCACGCACGCACGCACGCACGCACGCACGCACACCCTTTCAGATACTCTCTCTAGTTCCCAAAGAGCCTCAGGCTGTCAGCAGAGAACTCTGAAAACTCTCAGAACCGCGGACAGCAACAGACCTCTGTCCGTGGTGCTGCCTGGCCTCCTTTCCCCCATTGCAGTGTCCACACCACACCCTTGCGCCTTCCACGTACCACCCAGAAAGACACCAATCTGGAGACTGAGGCTCCATGAGAAGCGGGAAATTTGACATCTAGAGAGACCTTAAATAAAGAGTACCGTTGGGAGTCCAGCCACTTCCCTCCTCTTCACCCAGGAGGCATCTTTGAGCTCTCTTTCTCTCTCCCACCCCCAGAATTCATCTCAGTCTAGGCTACAAGATGGGCTGATAATTCATATACTTTTACTGTGTATGAATTTTGGGACAGAGGTTTATATCTCTATGTCTCTGCTAATTCTCCAATAACCCCAGTGAGGTAGGTGTTAGTATTACCTCCAATCTGCAGATGAAACATCTAGAGATCAGAGCAGTTACTTGCTCAGCCAAGTTCACACAGCAAGGGCTGGACAAATGGAAACTGCTACGTGCCTAGCTTTCAATCTCCAGTGGTCCTGTCTTAGTGACTCGAGTGGCCATCATCTTTGTCATGTATACTTGGCAAGAAGAAACTCAGCACATGTCTGCTGATGAATAGATCAATGAATATGTGATTCTCAAAGCCCATGTCCTAGATTCTTTAGTGCTCTGTCACCTGGCTGGGAGAAGTTCACCTTCACATTTGTTTCTTGAGACACTGACTTTCCTCCACCTATCTCTATTGGCAGAATCTTTCTCCCCACCCTGAAGCCTGATGCAAGCCTCTATTTCCCCTCCACAGGACTTGACCATCTTGAATCTTCCTGGATCTAAGAAGGAATGTCCCGAGATCTGGCTTCCCTCTCCAGGAGCAGGCTAGGCTGGCAAAGCTCCCAGAAAAGCCCTGCCAACCCTACCCCTTTGGCTGGAGCTGTGGTGAAAAGCTGTAAGTGCCCATGAACAGCAATGACCACTGTCATTACCGTTCCCGTGGGGCATCAGAGTTGTCTCCACCTTGGCATCTACTGCAGACAAGCTCAAGCTGGCTTCCACAGTGGAGGCAAGTCCATGAGAGGGACGTGACCACTTCTGACTCAAGAGTGGGAAGGATTTCAAGGATCCCCCACCTCACAGTGCACGAGCTCCAAATTTATGCCCTTGGCGTGGGACACAGGCACTTGCAGTGGCTCATTCCTCCCAGAAGCCTGTGTGTAAATCTCCAGGGAGGGAACAGTCACCCAGACACGTGCCAACCACAAAATAACAACAACCTACTACTGTTCATTTAGCAGCTACTATGACCCCAGCACTAGGCTAGAAATGAGTCATACAAGGTTAGCCAAGCAAGGTCCTGGCCCTCAGGAATCCCAAAGATTGACAGAAAATAAAATACAACTAAACAGGCAATGTATACCAGACAATTCACTGTCAGAGATGACTGAAGAGGAGATGAGTTAGGGCTCCCCCTGGGCTACGTCAGCTGACAGAGTTCTGTCCCCATGACTGCCTTCCCTCTCGGGTTCCACTTGCCAAATGTCCCAGCTCCAGACAGCACAGTCAGGTAGAAGCCATAAACCTACTTAAAGGCACAGATTCAGGAAGCACACCACTTTTACTCAAATCCCACTTCTTCCACTTACAAGCTCTGTGCCTTTGTACGAGTTATTAATCTCTCTAGGCCCTGACATCCTCAGCTGTGAAATGGAATAATAACATCTAACCTATCTCAGGGGGTGTTGTAAGGATTAAATGGGTGAATGATTGTGAAGAGATTAGAGCAGGGCTCAGCACACAGCAAAGGCTGGAGAAGCACTGGGTAGCAGTGGTGTCATCGCCCCAGTGCCCCAGTCCACCACAGGATGCCACCAAGTGGGGGTGGGGTGGGTCTGTCTTCACACCTGCTTCTGAGTCACTCACTCCTGGCCCAAGATGACCCGGCTGGATTAGATCTCTACCTCCATCTCAACCTCTAGGCAGGCAGCAGGCAGTCCCTGTGCTCCTCCTCTGCGTCCTCTGGCATTACTGTTAGAATCACCCTTAAATGGGCTTTGAGCTTGCTGAGCACTTGGCGTGTATCGTGCCATCCGAGTCCCCACAATACCCCTGTGGTAACGGGTCTTCTTATGGTCACCACTTTCCAGAAGAAGATACGGAGAGTCGCTGAGGTTTAAACCCAGGCAGAGTGATTCCGAACCCTGGGCTAGCCTGCCTCATCTACAAAGGGTGTCGGGTGGCCCTTCTCCAATGTCCCTTGATGCGCCCCCAACTCCTGCCCGGCTGTACTGTGGATCAGTGTCCCTGGACCTCTCCTTCCCACTCCCTCCTTGGCTTTGTTCACTTGAAGATTTTGCTACTGACCCTTCTGGGGTCCCAGTTACAAAAGGACAAGTTTGACTACCTTAGGCCATTCCTCTTGAATCCCTCCCAAGATAGGTCCTGGTCTCCCCTTCCTGTCTGATGCCACTGAGAGGACACCACTCAGCCTCCTCTTCCAGCCCCTCCCAGCCCATCACCTGACTTCCTTCCTTCAGGGAGGGTCATTAGAAGGTGGCCACCCCCTAACCTCCAGGGAGGCCTCCCACTTAGGCCTGGCACTTGGTGCTCTGGTCCAGTTTCCCCACCCATGAAATGCGGAGAGCTTCCTCTCTCAGATCCAGCTTGGCTGCCCTCGGAAGGACCAGATCCCAGTAGTGTGCCCACCCCTGCCCCAGAGGGTGAGACCACAGAAAGAAGCAAGAGGTTCTCAGAACCCTGGAAGAACCACTGCCTGTGCCCAGCTCCTTATTGTCGCATCCCCTTTTGTGCCATGAGATGAACTGGGCCATTTATAGGAAGTATAATTTGGAGGGTTAAACGCAAGTGCTTTGGAATCGCACGGAGAAGCATAGATGGATCCAAGTCTCAACTCTGTCTCTCATTGACAAATTACCCCATCTCATGGAGCCTCCATATTTTCAGTCATGAAATCAATGAGGTGAACAACATCTTCCATACCAGTTCCTCAGGGGATTTGGTTAAGATCACAATTGGGAAAGACCTGACCAGAGTGGGTCCAAAGCCCCAGTCACCTCTCTCTCGTGGACAAACAGTAAGAAGAGAGTGGGCTCCGACAGCCTCCACCTACAAGGCTGCTCGTTACTCAGGGGGTCCCCAAGTTCCCCACCAGAGCACGACAGCAGATGGGAGCTCCTCTGGAAGATGGTTCAGGGATCTTACGACAAGAAGTTACCATATGACCCAGTGTCCCCACTCCTAGATGCCCCGGGAGAACTGGAAGCACTTGTGTGCTTATGCACACTACAAGTGCAAGGATTTGTACAGGAGCGTTCAGGGCATGGTGAGTCACGGTAGGTGAAAAGTGGTAAACAACCCAAAACGGTCCATCTGTGGGTGGATGGGTGGACAAAATGCGGTATAGCCGTACGGTGGGATTCACTGGGTGACAGAAAGGAATGAAGAGCTGACTGCACTACAACACAGAGGAGCTTCTAAAACCCCATGCTAGGTAAGAGACCAGACACGAAAGGCCATGTTGCATGAGTCCATTTACAATGAAATCTCCAGAAAAGCCACAGAGACACAGAGTAGATGAGTGGTTGCCAGGGGCTGAATGAGGGGAAGAGAGGAAGTGCCTACCTGCTTAGTAGGCAAAGGGTTGGTGGTTCTTCTAATGTAGTGAAAATGTCCCAAATTAGATAGTAATGATGGTTGCACAACTTTGTAAATACACCAAAGCCAATGAGTGGCTAAAAGGGTATATTTTATGGCATATGCAATAGATATATTTTTGGGGTGAGGTGGAATCTCAGTGTTGTTTTCAACCTCACCTCACAAAGAATGGCTGCTATCAAGAAATCAACTAATAACAAATGCTGGCGGGGCTGTGGGGAGAAAGGAACCCTTCTCCATTGTTGGGGGAGTGCAGACTGGTGCAGCCACTGTGGAAATCAATATGGAGATACCTCAAAGAGCTGGGATAAGAGGTTCCATTGGACCCAGCCATCCGTCTGCTGGGCATCTTTCCAAAAGAATTAAAAGAATCCTATCAGTGATACACGCACACCCATGTTTATAGCAGCACAGTTTGTAATAGCTAAAACTTGGAAACAGCCCATTTGCCCATCAGTTGGAGACTGGATAAAGAAGATGTGGTATTTCTATAAAATGGAATACTACTCAGCCATAAAGAATGATAAATTAGATTCATTCATAGGAAATGGATACATTTTGAGGATATACTCCTAAGTGAAATAAATAAGTCACATGTGGGTAAATACTGAATAGTTTCTCTGGTGTGAAAAACTATAATGGTACATAAGATCCTAATGATATAATTGACAATGTAAAATAGGAAGAAAGGGGTTAAAGGTGTAGAGGAAGTGGGAAGGGTAGGGGAAAGGAAACAAGGGAAAAGAAAAAAAACATGAGAAAATGAAAAAATGGAAATAAAGTATTTGTAAATAGGGAAGGGAGGAGGGGATGAAGGGAGGGCAGGGACAAAGGGAAAAAAATGAGAACCAAGACCTGTCATGTAAGGGTACACGATCCCAATAATGAATGTAACTGTACTGTATACCTAAAATGTACCAATTAACTCAATGAGAAAAAAAGGAAATAGATATATTTTTAAATACTGGTTGATGAGAGTCTGAGCACTAGGCAGTGCCCTGAAGTCCTGTCCCACAAACCCAGGGAATCTGCAGAGCCCTGAAAGCCCTGACCCTAAGGGAAAGCTGGTTACAGGCCCCGAGCCTCTGCTGAGGGCCAGCTGCTGGAGCCGGCCCGAAACAAGCTTCTCCTGTGGCAGTGGGGACTATAAAGAGAGGGCTGAGCATCAGACGGTCCGTGTTCAAATGCTAGCCAGAGCACTTAGGGTCTTACGGCCTCAGGCAGGTCGTGCTCCTCTCCAAGTCTTAGTTTCAGTGTCCGTGAAACCGGAAACAGTAGCACTACCCACTTCACCAGGCTGTCATGAAAATTAAATAAGAGCATCAGGTAAACTGGCTGGGGCGGTGCTGCAGTGGTGCATGTGGGCCAGTAATAGCACTGAGCCCTCGGAAAGTCGTCCCGCCGTTCCAGCAGGCAGGCACTCCCACCCCAGTCTGAGGATCTGCCCGCACCCCTCCCCAACTCCAAGGTTTGGGAAGGCTGGGAAGCAGCAGGGGGTGTTGCTTGGGGTTAGGGGGCCATTTGAGGGCTGCCCAGGCAGGGCCCAAGCAACAGAAAGTAGACATTTGGAGGTCTGGGATGAGAGCTTGCCAGGCCTGGCCACTTGCCGGCCGGGGGCAGAGGAAGTCCAGGGGAGTGGAGGGGGACCGAGCTTTCCCAGGTTCCTGCTTGGGGAACAGGTGCCTGGGTTGCTGGACTGTGGGGCACCGCGGGGAAAAAAGCCTGGAACCCCAGCATAACAGAGAGCTCAGGGCTGGAGGACGAGGCGTGGCCCTGACCGGGAGGGAGGGGAAGGAGGAACCTTGGGAAGGGGGAGGAGAGAGCAGGACTGAGGGTGGAGAACTGAGAAGCGCCGGCAGGTAAGAAGGCAGGAGAGAAGAGGAACCTGGGAGCACCGCGGCGGGCACAAGAAGTCACCAGGGAAGGGAGCCCAAGGGCGCCCCAGGGGCTGAGAGATGGAAAGACGGTGTCCAGGGTAGCACTGAATCTCTCCTCGGGGAGGAGAATGGCTTCCTGGGTGGCAGAGCGGGTGCTGAGTGCTGCGTGCAAGGCCAACGCGGTGCAGAGGCAGGTGTAGGGTCCAGGGGGCCCCGAGAAAGGCGCGGAAGAGGCAAAAAAAAAAAAAAAA